AAAAAAAAAAAAAAAGGGGGGGGGAGGGAGAGCAAACATGTTAAGACTGGGGAACAAAGTGTACATCTAAATATAAGTGATAAGCTGATACAGAATGTCTATGCTGAGGACTACATGAAACTGAGATTTTTCTCTCTCTTGTCTTCTCATAGGGCATTTGATACTCTTGCAAAAGCATTAAACCCTGGAGAGAATGCAGCATGTCAAAATTCAGAAAGTATTGAAGCCAGTGTACATTTGCTTGGTGGAGAAGCAAGCATGAATATTGTTGAAATAGAGGGGCCACTTCTCAGCGATGCACATGTAGCTTTCAGGGTATTTTTATACTTTTTAACAATTTATAAATATTATAACAAAATTCTTATCAATATTAGAAGTTCAAGAACTTGATGCATATTTGTTGTTTGACTTTATTAGCATTCATGTTCTGATGAATGCACTGCTTTTGTTCAATGGTTAGCTGCTACTTGTTCAGGAAAACTAACTTGCCTCCTGACTGTTTTGGTAGCACAGTTCATTATGCAGCTTATATTTCCTTCAAAATCAGATGGCAAACCAATACTAGGGGATTTAAACCTCTGTGTTGTTGCAAAGCAGCAGAGAATGTCAAATTTTACAAATATTATATGTTTTAATCCTAGACAAATGAGTTAAATTTGCTCCGTGGTTAGATCTGTGGCCCAGAGGTGCCTTTGTGTTTAGTGATTCTCCTTTGCTTGCATATCCAGTTGCCATATGGCATTAAGTGACTTTGACCATTGTGGAAAATGGCAACAAAACGACACCCTTTTTTTTCCCAGAAGGCGCCAAATACTACTCATTTTTATTTCCACCCTGTGAGCCTACAGAACTTTCTCTATATTTGTCCTTTTATTAACGTGCAGACCACATGACCACATCAAAGGTTCTTCAATGCTAACCTTACATTGGACTTTTTGTCCCTTACAATCAGCCCTTGTTTTGTTGCCTGGTAATCATAAATTTAGTGTAAATCCTAGAACAAAATTTTCTCTTCTTAAAAAACTAGGTTTATCCATGTGGTTTTAATTGTATTAGTTTATATAATAGAGCCAAAAGTTAATCTGTGAGGGCAATTCGTAACTTTGGGTCAAATCCTGCTTCCCTTAATCATGCAGGTGAGCCCATTGTTTTTTAGTATAATTACTTGTAAGAGATTTTTAGCCATTGCTGGTTGTTGTAAAAACCTTATTTTCTTGAGCAGTTCTAGAGCATCAGGCATCTTGTGTGTGCTGAGCATCATGTGTATCGTATTCAGACCTGAGAACAGTATATATATTTGTAAAGTAAATAATTAAAAATTGCAAACCAAAGAACTTTTAAAATACCTTTTCTTCCTAAAACTAGTAATTTTGGCAATTCACCTAATTTTTCAGGCCATTTATTCCACTCCTCTGGGGAAAGCTATGGAAAGGTATGATGCCTCCCAATTTTTTTAATATACATATATGTGTGTATATATCTATCTATCTATCTCTGTAAAATGTAAGGAACTTGATCAAAATATACTTAAGGCATATCTTCTAAAAAGAATTCTATTAAAAATGTCTCAAAAGTTTTCATTATAACATAATTTGGATCTTTTATCTCTGAGTTTCCTAGATATGATCACTTGTTTAATGTGTGGAATTCAATTACATTTGCCCTATTTTTTCTTGCTTGTAATTATATATGGATTTAACAATTGTGGCTAATATTGAACAAAGGCAGTCATAAAATTTATTTTGAGATTGTGTCTTGTATTATTTTTATTTTTTTTAAATGATCAAACTTTTCCATGTGAAAGATCCTCAGTTTTTTTTCTGATTTAAAATTTTATGAAGGCAGAAAGCTAACTGTACAACTCCTTTTGGTACCAGCTCACCATGCCTTCTCC